ACATTTTTTAGTCTTTTAGGACATGTTGAGGGTGATATTTGACAGTAAAAAGGCAACAAGCCCCAGAATATTTTTCTTCTAGTTTCCCCCATGTGTCAGGATCCACCATGCCAAATTTTGGGGTTATTTGACCATGTTTGTAGTTTCAGTACCTTAATATTTACAGTTACATAATTTCGCAAATAGCTTTTCTTAAAAACTGTGTTTTTTGGGCCCTGAGTTGGAGTTGGTCCCATCAACTCGTGATGGTCCAAGATATAATATAACAGGAAATAATAGTGAAAAAAAGGAGCAAAAAAAACATCCTGAGGGGTGGACCAGGCTCCCGGCCTCGTTTCACAGCCTGAAACTCACCTGTGAGACGGACACGTGACCACGACGTTTGACTGTTTACACATGGAGACGGGCCTGGATGGACTGTCGCAATAAAATAAAAAATAAAAAAAACATCGGAAAAACCATCACCTCCTAATAGAGACACGTCGGAATGAAGAGACACTGGAAAAGGCAGTGGACCCCAACACTTTCACTTTTTTTATCTGCATTAATAGTAGTGTTTGCGTGAGCTCCCCCTGCAGGTGTGAACTTGTGAGTGCAGTTTGGGTCAGTTACACAGAAAGAGTTTTGAGAGTTTTTATGAGTCTTTAGACCAACAAGAGTCTACAGATCGATGGATTGTACATCACTGTATCCATATTTTAGATTTTTGGTTTTGTTTCAATCCTGGTCTTGTCCCGGTCTCATCTCGGTCTGGTCCTGGTCTAGTCCCGGTCTAGTCCCGGTCTTGTGTGTGTCTTGTGTGTGTGTGTGTGTGTGAGACTTACATGTGGGGCGCCCCCTTCTGGACACACGAGCTGCACAAACTCCTTGAGCGTGTCCTGGGGGTGGTACCTGATCGCCGGGTGGGAGAAGTAGGACCCGGGCTGCTGGAGGATGGGGGACGAGGAGAAGTGCAGACCAGCAGGGGGCGCATGGGGGCTCGCTGTGCACACGACACCACACACACAGAGTTAGACACATGACACAACAGGACGCACAACACAACACAACACAAACCTCACAAACCTCAAACCTCAAACCTGACACCGACTGAAAAACCTGAAATCATCTGACCCGCTCACTGTTGTCCAAAGTTCTTCCAAGTTCTCACCTTCTGCTTCTGAACGTCGTCATTTTTCACCAGGACGAGTTTATAAAAGTTTAACACGACTCTCAGAGGATAACTACAACTAGCATGCTAATACACATCAGGCTTATTTCTTCGTTTGTGACTCATGTGACTTTACAAAAAAATAAAATAAAAAATCAGATCCAAGTTTTAAGGTCCATGTTTTAGTCCCAGACCAGGTCTTTGTGTGGTTTTCCTGGATCAGTCCTGGTTAAATCCTGGATTAGTTTCAGGTAAATTTAAATTTAATCCCAGTTTTTGTCTTTTGTCTCATAAACAGACTCACACAGCTCCAGACGATAAACAACCAAAGAAAAACTGAATCATGTGTGAAAGAATTTGAACAATCCTAAAAACACACAGAAAACTGTTCTTTAGTCTTTGGTTCATAATCTAACCTGATTTAAACTGATTTAAATTATTTAATCATTTTTAAACATGATTTAAATGTGATTTAAACTGATTTAAACATGATTTAAATGTGATTTAAACTGATTTAAACATTGATTTAAATTTATTTAAACTGATTTCAACATGATTTAAAGCTGCTTTAAACTGATCTAAACTGATTTAAACATGATTTAAACAGATTTAAACAGATTTAAACATGATTTTAACAGATTTAAACAGATTTAAACATGATTTAAACATGATTTAAACTGATTTAAACAGATTTAAACATGATTTAAACTGATTTAAACATGATTTAAACATGATTTAAACTGATTTAAACATGATTTAAACAGATTTAAACATGATTTAAACAGATTTAAACTGATTTAAACATGATTTAAACATGATTTAAACTGATTTAAACATGATTTAAACATGATTTAAACTGATTTAAACAGATTTAAACATGATTTAAACATGATTTAAACATGATTTAAACAGATTTAAACATGATTTAAACTGATTTAAACATGATTTAAACATGATTTAAACTGATTTAAACATGATTTAAACTGATTTAAACATGATTTAAACATGATGTTAGAGACAAAGCTCATCTAACTTTTGAGACAAACTTTCCCGACCTGTTTTTGTTTCTGCAATCGGAAAGAAAAAAAAAGTGAAGGAGAGATGAACAGATGAGAGAGAGAGAGAGATGGACAGATCAGCATGAAGGAGAAAAGAGTAATGGACAGTGCAGAAGTGGATGGACAGATGAGACAGAGAGAGGGAGAGAGGGGGAGAGATGGACAGATGAGAGAAAGAGATGGACAGATCAGAGGGAGAGATGGACAGATGAGAGAAAGAGATGGACAGATCAGAGGGAGAGATGGACAGATGAGAGAAAGAGATGGACAGATCAGAGGGAGAGATGGACAGATGAGAGAAAGAGATGGACAGATCAGAGGGAGAGATGGACAGATGAGAAGCAGACAGAGAGATGGACAGATCAGAAAGAGATGGACAGATCAGTGTAAGAAAGAGAGAGTGAGAGATAAACAGATGAGAGAGAGAGAGAGATGGATGAGAGGTAGATGGAGGGAGATGGAGAGACAGAGTGAAAGATGGAGAGATGAGACATAGATGGAGAGAGATGGAGAGATGAGGGCGGAGGAGAGAAGAGTAATGGGGGGTGCAGACGTGGGGGGCGGGGCCGAGGCTTTAGAGTTGATTAAAGGGGGCGGGGCTTATGCAGATGAGCGATGACACGCGCAGACGGCGACTCTGCGGCTGTCAATCAAACGGAGGTCAGGAGGAGGTCACAGACGTCAGCGTTTAGACCGAAGAAGAAGAAGAAGAAGAAGAGGAAGAGGAGGAAGAAGAGGAAGAAGAGGAAGAAGAAGAGGAGAAGAGGAAGAAGAAGAAGAAGAAGAAGAAGAAGAAGAAGAGGAAGAAGAAGAGGAAGAAGAAGAAGAGGAGGAAGAGGAGGAGGAGTCTGTCCAACACCGGGACCAGAACCACAGAAGAGATTTTACTACGTTTGAGTCGGTTACAAAAGAATAAATCAGACTGAAGATTCTGTGTTTACGTCGCTCTGATCTGAAAACATCACGACTTTTACTGAAATCGAAATGTGACGACGGAACGAAGCGCGAGCAGAACCGACGAGGACGACGTCTAGAAACACCCACATACCACATGGTTTGGGTTTGAGTTTAGTTTGAGTTCGGTTTTAGTTTTGGGTTTGGTTTGGATTTAGTCTGAGTTTGGGTTTGATCTGGTTTGGGTTTTGGGTTCAGAACAGGGTTATAAATGGTGTTTGTGGTTTTGGTTCTGTGTTGGTTCTGTTTTTCTCGCTGAACAAACCTCGAGTGACGTTTCTTTAAACTGTAAGACGACGTTAAACTAAATAAAAAACAAATTAAATATTGAATAAACTCCGATAAACACAGAGAACTTCTCAACAAGCTGATTTTTAAGGCAGAACAACCAGGACTAAACCAGGACTAAACCAGGACTAAACCAGGACTAAACCAGGACTGGACAGGACTGAACTAGGACTAAACCAGGACTGGACCAGGACTAAACCAGGACTAAACCAGGACTGGACCAGGACTAAACCAGGACTAAACCAGGACTGGACCAGGACTAAACCAGGACTAAACAAGGACTGGACCAGGACTAAACCAGGACTAAACCAGGACTCTGATGGTCCTTTAGACCAGTTTAAACTCTTCTCTTGATGAACCCAGTGACACAGACACAGACACAGACGCTCACAGACAGGAGCATGCAGGGACAGATGACGACAGGTGCAGATCAGGTGACAGGTGCAGAAGAATAAACACAACTGAAAAATGAGTTTTTACTGAATCACAGGACAGACCTGTCCAGCCACACAGAACCACAGAAGAACCACAGAACCACAGGAGAACCACAGGAGAACCACAAGAACCACAGGAGAACCACAGGAGAACCACAAGAACCACAGGAGAACCACAAGAACCACAGGAGAACCACAAGAACCACAGGAGAACCACAAGAACCACAGGAGAACCACAGGAGAACCACAAGAACCACAGGAGAACCACAGGAGAACCACAGGAGAACCACAAGAACCACAGGAGAACCACCCCACAGGAGAACCACAGGAGAACCACAGGAGAACCACAGAAGAACCACAGGAGAACCACAGAAGAACCACAGGAGAACCACAGAGTGTAAACGTCGTGGAGTATTTGTTGGAGCACTGGGCTGTGTTTAAGCTCATGTGTTTTGTTAAATATAAACTGTAGATCTCTGAGTTGGACCAAAGCACCTGGACTCGGTCCAGACTCAACTTTTGTGTTTCCACCGGACCAGACCCTGGTCCAGACCCTGGTCCAGACCCTGGTCCAGACCCTGGTCCAGACCCTGGTCCGGACCGAGACCTGCTCTGTTAGACCAGAGGAGCAGGAGCAGTGTGAGTGCTCTGGTCCTCGGGTCTTCGGGCCTCAGGTCTTTGGCCCGAGAGCCTTAATTAATAAATATAAAACATTACAAAAAATCAAATCCAATCAGAATTAAATTTGACAAATCAAAGACTCGACTCTGTCCTCAGGCCACAAACTCTCTGCTTTTTATAAATATAAACTGAACCAAACGTGTTTAATCATCTGACCTGAAGTCGACTAAAACTAAAGCTGAAACAAGAAGAAACAAAAACTTCAACACAAATCTGAAAAACTCACAAACACAACTTGACCTGACTCCACTGACCCGACTCTACTGACCCGACTCTACTGACCCGACTCTACTGACTCGACTCTACTGACCTGACTCTACTGACCTGACTCTACTGACTCAACTCTACTGACTCGACTCTACTGACTCGACTCCACTGACCCGACTCTACTGACCCGACTCTACTGACCTGACTCTACTGACTCGACTCCACTGACCCGACTCTACTGACCTGACTCTACTGACTCAACTCTACTGACTCGACTCCACTGACCCGACTCTACTGACCTGACTCCACTGACTCAACTCTACTGACCCGACTCCACTGACCCGACTCTACTGACCCGACTCTACTGACCCGACTCCACTGACTTGACTCTACTGACTTGACTCTACTGACTCGACTCCACTGACTCGACTCCACTGACTCGACTCTACAGCCTCGACTCTACTGACTCGACTCTACAGACTCGACTCTACAGACTCCACTCCACTGACTCGACTCTACAGACTCGACTCTACAGACTCGACTCCACAGCCTCGACTCTACTGACCCAACTCCACAGACTCGACTCCACTGACTCGACTCCACTGACTCGACTCTACAGACTCGACTCCACTGACTCGACTCTACTGACCCGACTCCACTGACTCGACTCTACGGACTCGACTCCACTGACCCGACTCTACTGACTCGACTCTACAGACCCGACTCCACTGACTCGACTCTACTGACCCGACTCCACTGACTCGACTCTACTGACTCGACTCCACTGACTCGACTCTACAGACTCGACTCCACTGACTCGACTCCACAGACTCGACTCTACAGACTCGACTCCACTCACTCAACTCCACTGACTCGACTCTACTGACCCGACTCCACTGACTCGACTCTACTGACCCGACTCCACAGACTCGACTCCACAGACTCGACTCCACTGACTCGACTGACTCGACTCACAGACTCGACTCCACTGACTCGACTCCACTGACTCGACTCCACAGACTCGACTCTACTGACCCGACTCTACTGACCTGACTCTACTGACTCAACTCTACTGACTCGACTCCACTGACCGACTCTACTGACCTGACTCCACTGACTCGACTCTGACCCGACTCTACTGACCCCGACTCTACTGACCCGACTCCACTGACTTGACTCTACTGACCCGACTCTACTGACTTGACTCTACTGACTCGACTCCAATGACTCGACTCCACTGACTCGACTCTACAGCCTCGACTCTACTGACTCGACTCTACAGACTCGACTCTACAGACTCGACTCTACAGACTCGACTCCACAGCCTCGACTCTACTGACCCAACTCTACAGACTCGACTCTACGGACTCGACTCTACAGACTCGACTCCACTGACTGGACTCTACAGACTGGACTCTACAGACTGGACTCTACAGACTCGACTCTACTGACCCGACTCTACTGACTCGACTCTACTGACCCGACTCCACTGACTCGACTCCACTGACTCGACTCTACTGACCCGACTCCACTGACTCGACTCTACTGATCCGACTCCACAGAATCGACTCCACTGACTCGACTCTACTGATCCGACTCCACAGAATCGACTCCACAGACTCGACTCCACTGACTCGACTCTACAGACTCGACTCCACTGACTCGACTCTACTGACCCGACTCCACTGACTCGACTCTACGGACTCGACTCCACTGACCCGACTCTACTGACTCGACTCTACAGACCCGACTCCACTGACTCGACTCTACTGACCCGACTCCCACTGACTCGACTCTACTGACTCGACTCCACTGACTCGACTCTACAGACTCGACTCCACTGACTCGACTCCACAGACTCGACTCCACTGACTCGACTCCCACTCACTCAACTCCACTGACTCGACTCTACTGACCCGACTCCACTGACTCGACTCCACTGACTCGACTCCACGACTCACTGACTCGACTCCACAGACTCGACTCCACTGACTCGACTCCACAGACTCGACTCCACTGACTCGACTCCACAGACTCGACTCTACTGACTCGACTCCACTGACTCGACTCTGTGGTCTTGTCTTGTGTTTGGTCGGCAGCAGTGTGGCTGGACACGTGACACACACAGATGAGAGCAGAGGGTCAGCGGGGGTCGGGGGGGGGGGGGGGGGGTCACACAGGGTCAGCGGGGGGTCAGGGGGGGTCAGGGGGAGGGGACAGGTGGTGTTAGACGGGGCAGAGCAGATGAGTTACCTTGTCGGGAGATGAAGGAGCTAGTTAAAGAGCCACGCAGTTTATATCCAGCTTCAATCAAACAAACAGAACAGAAAAGAAAAGATGCAGCGAGTTAGTACGGAGAAAAAGAAGGAGAGATGGAGAGAAGGAGAGAAGAGAGAAGGAGAGAAGGAGAGAAGGAGAGAAGGAGAGAAGAGAGAAGGAGAGAAGAGAGAAGGAAAGAAGAGAGAAGGAGAGAAGGAGAGAAGAGAGAAGGAGAGAAGGAGGTAGAGGTCGTTCACTCAGGTCACAGACGCTCGTGAGGGGGTGAGGAGGAAATCATCTCTGAACCATCAAAAAACTCACACTAAAAACTCAACAAACGTCAAAATTCTACGGAAAAGAATCAGTTTATTTTATAAAACTGACCTGTTCTCTGTCACACCCCTCACACACTCACACACACACACACACACACACACACACACACACACACACACACACACACACATAC